TTTACCTAACATTTTTCTGCCTACCTTTGCCTACCACTCTCCAATACCGTTAGATCAAAATCTCAAGAAGAGAGAAAAAGATAAATGTTAGTTAAGATTCTGATCTAACGGTGTTGGAGGGTGGTAGGTAGAGGTAGGCAAAAAAATGGTAAGTAGAATAACCTATCCCTTCTATTTTATAGTGGTGAATAAAAAAGTTAACACTACCTATACAGAAGTAAAACAAAATCACAGTGAAGGTCTCGTCTCTAGATATTAACTTATTTGAGAATGTCAGACCTACAATCAATCATCTCTTTTTATAAAAATAAAAAAGGAAACAAAGGATGAAGAGAACGTGGAAATGAGTACGTGACAAGGGAGGAAGAATAAGTTTTCTTTCTAATCAATGTGCGTTGTTGCGTTGTTTTAATCATCTTCGTACGTTGTTACGTTGCTAACTAATATAAGAATAAATATCCTTTTTGGTCCCTAAAAAAAATTTGGTCCTCACTTTAGTCCATTATAAAAAAAAAATTAGTCACCTGATCCCTATGGACCCACTTTGGTCTTTCTGTGGGACTAGTGTAGGTCTTTTTTGAATTTGTGATGGACCACGATTTTAATTAAATTGATCTACTTTAAATTTTTTAAGGACCTCGAGACTAATTTTTTTTTGTAAAGGACTAAATTGAGAATCATGTTTTTTGTTAGGGACTTAAAAAATTATTTACTCCTAATATATATATATTGAATCAAGAGACAAATAACAATCTACAAAAAAAAAAAAAAAAAAAATTAAAATCAAAAAGTTTATGACCGCACTTGCTGGCATTTGCCCGCAAGTGGGTCCGCCAATGCATCTAGGAGAATAAGATCCTGGCCTCTCAACCATGGCCATTGAACAAGAGCTTGTGAGGGCTTCCATCACTTGATGGAGTGAAGCTTGGTCACAAACACGGACACATTGAGACAATCGTTTATTCTTTTATAGTTAGCTTTTGTTGGGTATTGGCAAAAAATGCTAATGCATGCATGAACATTATCTAAGGGTTGATGTTCTTGAGAATTGAAGTTGGGTCCATTTTATAGTGGTGGGGCCAGAGGAGTTTATGGTATGATAAAAAATAGAACACGGATCCAATTGAACGTGGCATGTGGACAGGAGTCTCCATGACTCCAAAGTGCTTTTTAAACGACGTGAGAATCTCAAGTCTCAACTAATTAACTATTGGTTTCTCCTCTTTTTTCTTTCTTTATCTAATTGACTTTTCTTCCCTGTGTGGTACAATGTTGTTTGCTTTCTATTAATTTGGGGTAACTTTCAATTCAATTTCTTAAATGCTGTAATTTATAAAAAAGTTTTATGCTTCACATGTAATATAAGAAGATAAATTTTCTTATATATTCTTCTATTTTTGTGTTGATATGGATTTCATATATAATTTTTTCTAATATATAGATTCCACATAACTTTTGTCTCTATAGCATAAGAAGGCTCATCTCATCTAACATAAAAAAAAGTTTTAATATTTTTATTTTTGTTACATAAAAAAATTATTTTTATCACTCATATAAAAGTAAATAGATTCCATTAATATTCTCACTCTTTTTTTTTTTTTTTTTTTACAATGAGACACATTTTTTCACATTTACTTTTATGTTAGTGACAAACCAATTTTCTTACACCAAAAGAAGAAATATTTTTTTCTTTGTACAAAGTCTAAACCTCATCCACGACTTTGTAGCATGGGTTTTCTTTAATATATATATATATATATATATATATATAACAAAAATTTATCAAGTCATGTATCTTGTATATAACTTCACAGATTTAATATTAAATATGTATTAAGTCAACTTTGCTTAAAATTCTCAAGGAAAAAAATAAATAAAAACAGCTAGAAAGACACGGGTAAGACGCATGAGTCATGACTTTATACAAATTATACCATTAAATCTGAAGTTGCACCCAAAAGGGTACAAAACAATCAAAGTTACACTACACGGTTAAAAAAGTCTCATCTATTCTATTTTTGCTTGATGAGTTTTAAATACGAGTTCTTGATTGCATGCAGTTTGTTGACGACAACAGTCATAGGTACCCGTTCACTTGGTGAAGTTGCTGAGCATGAAACTCCAATTTGCAACACTGAAACCAAGCAATTTTCCATTATAGCAAAAACTTCATCTATTGCAGTCTCCTCTGTGGAAACTTGTTGATTTGTATCATCAAATTCTTGCTCAGAGAGCAATAAAGGATCAATTACATCCATGGCATGATTTGGTAAAGCCAAGGTTGTAAACTGTTGAATTCCCATGCCACCTTCAAACATCTCATCTGTTGGACTTTTTCTTGTGAAAATCTCTAGTAATAGTATCCCATAACTGTATATATCTCCCATTGCAGAAGGATGGCCACCCAATCCATATTCTGCATCATTTGGTAATTGTGTAATTATTGTCAAATGCAACTTGTAAAGAACCTTGGGATACACTACCCCAAAAGCTAGCTGCTCAAAGGGTGAGAGTGCTCAAGGCCTTATAAACTCCACATTAGTTGCACATACAACCAATGTGGGACTATATATCTCAACACGCCCCCTCACACGAGAGTCCTTTGGGCTTGAAGCGTGGACAATGCAACAGGCCCAGCCTACCTGTGCTAATAAACTCCACAAGAGAAAGTGGGGGACAGCGAGACTCTGATACCATGTAAAGAACCTTGGGATACACCATCCCAAAAACTAGCTCAAAGGGTGGGAGTGCCCAAGACCTTATAAACTTCACATTAGTTGCACATACAACCAATGTGAGACTATATATCTCAACACAACTCATAATTGAACATAAAGGATTAATTAAGATAGTGAGTGAAGGACATACCTGGAGGGACGTAACCAATAGAACCCTTTAAACAAGCTGAAATACTTGATTGTGTGGAAAAATTGCTTGATTCTTCAAACAGAAATGTAGCTAATCCGAAGTCACCAACATGGGCAACCATATCATTGTCAAGAAGAACATTGCTTGGCTTTATATCACAATGAACAATTGGAGTTTCACAGAAGTGGTGGAGATATTCCAGTGCACAAGCAACATCAATTGCTATGTTGAGCCTTTGGATAAATGACAATGTCTTGTTCTGATATTGCACATTATTTATAGGATGCAACCAATCTTCTAGACTTCCGTTAGACATGAACTCAAAGATTAGAGCTTTGAAGTCATTACCTTGAGGATCAACACTTGATATGACAGTTATGATCTTGAGAAGGTTGCGATGCCTTATACTTCTCAGAACTTTGCACTCATCAATGAAGCTCTTTGAAGCTCCTCTTTGTTGAAGATTTAATACTTTAACTGCAACTGTTGATCCATCACCTGAAAGAGTTCCTTTGAATACAGAACCAAAACTTCCTGAGCCAATAAGGTTATCCTTGGAGAACCCACCAGTGCACTTTTCAATTTCTGAGTAAGAAAGTTGCAATTCCAAATCCTTTGTAACAGTTGCTCTTGAAGATTTCTTTCTTGCTCTTTTGACCAAAAAGATTGTAAGAAAACAAGAGAGAAAGAATACAAATACAAGTGCAATAGCCACAGGGATAACCACCTTGGGGTCATGAAATTTTCCTAAGGAAGATGCTTTTTGGGTAGCACATGCAAGTAAGTTTAACTCTGGGACACCACCGCAGAGCATGTTGTTTCCATACACTGAAATTGAAGTTGCATTCTTGAAGATTCCATTCATTGGTACTTTGCCCTCGAAATCATTGTAAGAAAGATTGAGATTCTTGAGCACTTCGAACTCACCAAGAAATTCAGGAATCTTCCCAGACAAGTTATTGCTTGACAGGTCTATATCTTGTAAACCTCTCAAATTCTGTATAGTTGAAGGAATGTTCCCCTCAAAAAGGTTACCCTGCAAATGAAGCCCTTCCAAACTCATACAGTTTCCAAGAGAGGATGGAATCATGCCAGACAATTTGTTCTCTGAGAGGTTCAACTCTGCAAGATTCACCAACTTTCCCACTTCAACAGGCACAGACCCTGTCAAAAGATTATGAGACAAGTCCAAGTAAATTGAAAGAGAAGACAAGGCAATGACTTGTCTTGGTATGGTACCATTCAGCATGTTATGGCTAACATTTAGCATCAACAAGTTCTGGCATTTTCCAAGGCTTGCTGGTATACTTCCCTCAAAGTTGTTATCCTCCATGAGTAGCTTTGTTAATCTTGTCAAGTTTCCCATGGATGAAGGGACTACCCCAGAAAAGTTGTTGCCATTCAATTCCAAATCATTTAACTTTTGAAGCATGCCTATTGTATTAGGAACAGAACCACTTAGGCTGTTCTCTTCCAATCCCAGTACGGTTAAGTTAGCAAGGTTCCCTATCCCAATAGGGATACTTCCATGTATTGCATTGCTACCTAATGTAAGTATATTTAATTGGGTTGAAAGATTAGCAATAGAACCAGGCAATTCTCCTCCAAAATTATTTTGAGCAAGACCCAAAACTTCAAGAGCAGTACAATTAACCAGGGAAGCAAGAAAATTCAGCTCACCACCTTTCCCAGTTCCAAGTCTATTGATATCAAAATTGAGTCTTTTTAAATGAGGCAATCTTCCTATGTTCTTAGGAAGTGTGCCAGTGAGAAAATTTTCTGCAAAGTCAAGAATTTCTAGTCTTGATGCATTTGAAAGAGATTCAGGAATTGTTCCCGTGAAATTGTTGACTCCACCAGCAAATGTTTCAAGATTAGGAAGAGTAAAACCAACATCAGCTGGTATTGTACCATGCAGATGATTTTGAGAAACAGTGAAAAAGAATAAGGTAGAAATATTGAAAATTGAAGGAGGGATTGTTCCTGACAAGTAATTTCCATTTAGTGCAAGAAGTGTCAAGCTTGATAGTTTGCCTACCTCATTTGGTATGGTTCCATGCAAGTTGTTCACAGCAAGGTTAACAAGAGACAAAGATGAAGAGTTTCCTATCCATGATGGAATTGTTCCTGTGAAGTTGTTATGACCAGCAGACAATATACTTAGTTCTGTGCAGTGACTTAGATTACTTGGAATGCTACCACCAAAATAATTGTAACTAATGTTTAGATGTTGCAGATATAGTAGATGTCCTACTTCTTGAGGAAACTCTCCATGGAAGCTATTATTTCTAAGGTTGAGTCTGGTGAGGAATGTGAGATTTCCAATAGATGGTGGAACAGTGCCAGTAAGTGTCTTGTCTGCAAGGATCAAATACATGACCCTTCCATTTGAGATGTTGCAGGTAATTCCTACCCAGTTGCAGTAATAGATCGAATCATTCCACAAACTCATGATGTTGAATGGATCTTGAACTACCCTACTCTTTAACTCAAGTAAAGCATGTAGATCAGTTTCATTTCCTTGCAAGGTTGCTGTGACTGCATAGTCCTGACATGTGCTCATGCATAAGAGAAGAAACCCATAAAGGAAATGGAATACTAGTCTCTTGGAGTTTACACAAAATTTGCTCATTTTTTTTTTTTTTTTTTACAGATCAGTTTTTCTTCTCATTCATGTAAGAGAAGAAAGTCACAAAGGAATTGAAATGGATACTAATCTCTTGGAGTTCACACAAGAATTGCTCATTTTTTGATCGAAATGCAGTTTTTAATGCCAACTCCAAAAGTCAACGATAGAGGCAGGTATATAATTCAAAGGTGTATGGCAGCGGCGGAGTTGCTTTGATGCCAGCTGGTGCCTTGGCACCAGCTCTCTTTCCACAAATTGTATTTACTACTTGGGTTTTTTTGGTGGCTTCTGCAAATAACATACAACATTGATACATTGGCACCTGCAAACAACAAAACACCACTTTAGTGTCTACTGGTGTAAAAAGTTTACTCTGTATTTTGTCCATCTTTTTATTAATTTAATTATGTTGCTTCTTATCTTTATATATATATATATATATATATATATATATATATATATATATATATATATAGGGTTCAAGTTTTCTTATGTTGTAAGATAGTAGGAGAGAAAAAAAGTGGAAACAAGTTAAATGTGAGTCTCATATTTTATATTAAAAAAAAAGAAAAATTAATTGACACGAAAAACGAATTTGTGTAGGAAAAGATTTTACTCTCGTGTAGTAGCAGGAGAGCATTATTTTCGTGTAACTAATTATGTCTATAAAAAATTAATTTTTTCTTTTTTGATCTAAGGGCTCTCAGATGAGGTGTCAAATTTCAAATTTGACACCGGTATCAAAGGATCTTACCTATATATATATATATATATATATATATATATATATATATATATATATATATATATAGAGGTAGGATCCTTTGACACCGGTTTCAAATTTGAAATTTGATACCAAATTTGACACCTCATTTGAGAGCCATTAGATCAAAAAAGATCAATGGTGTCACATGCTTACAAATAAGAGCCATTGATCTTTTTTGATCTAATGACTCTCAGATGAGGTGTCAAATTTCAAATATATATATATATATATATAATTTTATTTTTCAGTTTACAAAAATAATAATAAAAAAAAGAAAAAGAAAAAAATTATTTTTTGGTTTTTTATTTGTTTGATTTGATATATAATCATTGGTTATTGTTCGTTTGAATTTTCAATTTTATGCGACATTATTTAGTAAATAATTTATGTAAGTGTGTTATAATTTATAGTAAAATTTTTCCTGATAAATTTATATAATTACGATAAATATTTTGATAATTTAATATGTCAAATTTTTTAGCACTACCTAAAACATGTCCTTGGCTCCGCCACTAGTGTATGGTATGGGAGTCCATGGAAATGATACACTTTGTTGATTTATAATATGAATAATTTTTCTTGATAATTATGATATATTTGACTCTTAATTTTGCTACCAAAAACAAAAGAAAAAGAAAAAAATTCAAACACATCGACTATATTTTTAGCCAATAATTTATTCGAGTGTATTTGGTTACGTCTGATTCTTTATTTTGTTCACTCGTCCTTTGATTGTGTTACCTATATACGTGAGAGATGGGAATTGGGAACGTTATATTTATTTACGTGTACTACACATTTTCCTTACAATCACAAACCTCAAACATTACTAATGTTGTTGGTTTGACATTTACTGATCTGAACCCATTAGGCCCCATTTTTTATCTTCTGATTCGTGCGCATTCAATTCAATATTTTTCGGGGATTGTGTGCCTTCCGTGCTATCAGTTTATCCAGCATCATCCTTCGGCTGAATTTCTTGGACTAAAAACCTTAGCTAAGTGGACCCCCGAGTTTATAAACATTTAAATTATTATTTAATATATAGAAGAAAATTTAAAAGTATGTATTTTTATCGTAACATGTGATATATATATATATATATATATATATATATATATATATATATAGGGCTTATCATTTCTTAAGCTGTTTGAGATCTTATCTTCGGCTACTAAATCACAATCGTACAAAGATGGATCAATAGTGATAAATAAAGAGAGAGAAAAAGGAAATCATAATCATTCAAAGATGAATCAATTAATATAAGGAAATAAATAAATAAAACGACGTAGTTTTGGGATAGCCGGAGATAAACTTATCTCAACCTGCTTGAGAAATTTTTTCCTATATATATATATATATATATATGAGGTAGGATCCTTTGACACCGGTGTCAAATTTGAAATTTGACACCTCACCTGAGAACCATTAGATCAAAAAAGATTAACGGTGTCATATATTTACAAATCAAAAAAAGCCTAGTTGGTGATTTGATACACTAATGCATTATACCTTATTGGCTGCTTCTTCTGCTTTGCAGGTCTAAGGTTCAAGCCATACTTGCTCATTTTACCCTGGCTTCTTAACTGCAGTTTGAAGACAAAGTGAAGCATCGATCACTTGTATCATTCCAATTTCATTTGTATAAAAAAAGCAAGCTTTGATCATTAGAGAAACACATTAAGAATAAAACTTCGACAAGAAGCCCGCTACTAGCAGCTCAAGCATCAGAATATAAGTAGAAATGTATCGTGTGACCAAAATTTTCAAGTAGCAGTAACAAAATAAATACGAAAACATCAATGGGAGACAATTATTAACAATACTCCGTCAGTGTCTAATGGTGAACATATGAATTTCGAAAGTTGATAGTGTACGATACAAGGTTTTGAAATCATAGGGATTTCAGGCAACTTCAATAATCATGAGTAAGTATGTCTTGTGATTTCTATACTTACCGTAGAATGATAAAAAATAATCAAAAGATCAACGGTGTCATATGCTTACAAATCAGAGTTGTTGATCTTTTTTTATATAAAAGCTCTCAGATGAGGTGTCAAATTTCAAATTTGACACCGATGTCAAATGATTATATATATATATATATATATATATATATATATATATGGGTAAATATTTCTACAGTCACTTTAGATAAAGTTATCTACAGTTACCCCAAAAACTACATCATTTTGATTAACGAAGAGTGTTTTTTGTAATTTTAGGTGAATTAATGAAGGGTGTTTCTGTAAGTTTGTTTATTTTTTTGTCATATGCATTTTACTAAAACACCTTTCATTAAATCACTTAAAATTACAGAAACACCCTTCATTAATCAAAACGACGTAGTTTTTAGGATAGCTATAGATAACTTTATCTAAAGTGGCTGTAGAAATATATTTTTCATATATATATATATATATATATATATATATATATATATATATATATAGGGGAATACTTTTCTCCAGTTGCAGGAAGAAAGTATTCTCCTGCCAAGAGACATCCAAAATTTCAAATGCCTTTTTTCTATTTTTTTTAATAAAAAATGTGGTGGGCTCCATGCATTCCTCAGTCTGTAGGATAATTCATTACCCCACATATATATCAACTATAATTTTCTGTCGCGGCGGCAAATAAGATGTCTATGCTATAAGAGACATTCTTTTAAAAAAAATAGGACCCACTAATTAAAAAAAGAAGAAGCAATTACAGAGTGCATTCTCGGGAATACACTATGTGCGCAGATATGAGCGTAAATGAGCTGAGCGGCTTGTCAGGGACCCAAGACTTGGCTTGCTTGGCTTGTCCTAACTTGCTTAATAAATAGAACGAGTTCAAACTTTAAAAAAACTTGTTTAGCAAACAAGCCCAAGCCTAATTTAATGAGGCTTGACTTGAAGCTCAAGAGTTGGCCTGATATATTATTGTTTATGTCACTGAATTATTAATCATACTTTTTTAGGGTTGTTTGCTGGCATTCTCTCCAGTCACAGTTTCACAAACAAATTTTTTGACTAGTGGTCTCTCCTTTCCTCCCTCGACCACTCACCTTTCACGGCTTTATCCCAACCTTCTACTTAGGGCAACTCTGGTAATCAATAACCATCTTTAACTCCACAAGCAACTGACCAAATCCAAGTACTCTTTCTCAATTCCTCTTTCTTCGATATAAGATTATCAGTAGATGCCTAACAAACTAATTTCCATCATTTAAAATCCCTTTTAAATTTTAAATGCATTCGTTCTTCTTTACTTTTCTCGATTTATTATATATTATTTATAAATCCTGATGTATTCTCGCAAAAAAACCAAAAAGAACTGCAAGAAGATCTGCTTCTTGCTTTTACTTTTTGTCTTCCTAAATCACCCACCTTGTATTGAAAATGTTATTATTTTTTTGTTCCAGCTAGATAGCATGAAAGATGTAATTATATATGGACTGAGTGAGTTCTATGATTGTTTTTTCTCTAACGAAGGAATACATAATTCGATGCATTTATAGTCTCAACATTTGGACGTACTTGAGTTTAGAAAAAATGTATTTTATAATTATAAAAGAGCCAAGTCAAGCTTAACCCGAGCCTTTAATTTTTCATAAACAAGGCAAGTTAAGCCTAGAATTTAGCTCGTACCAAGTGAGTTAAGACAAGCTGAAAATATTTTTCATAGGCTTGGCTTGTTTAAGCTAATATTTGGCTCAACCCAGCTCATTTACTTCCCTAGTGGTAGAAAACTATTTCTGCAACTGTCTCTCTCTCTCTCTCTCTATATATATATATATATATATATATATATATATATATATATATAGGGAGGGGAAAACATTTCTCAAGCTGCTTGAGATAATGTTCTATCCGGCTAAGTGAAACTACGTCGTTTTGCATTCAGATTTCAAGTAAAATAATAATTTTGTTATTCCATCTTCGTTCCCTCTTAGTCAATCACAATGCTCTTCATCCCCAATCCCTAATCAGAGAGCGTTCTTCTCCTTCGTTGCTGGTCATTCTTCCTCTGAATCATTTTCCCTCTCAGTTCTTGGACGTTCACGGCTCTCTCCACCATTTGCTGCAACGCCTTGCTCAACCAACAACAGGTATTTGACTCTAGTTCATCAGTGCCCTAATCTATCATGTTCTTTAGTTATCCTTGAAATTATGTTTTTTTTTTTTTAATTTGTGAACCTTCATTTACTTTTTTTAAGTCACTTTATTCTGCATTTTCTTATGAACTATTATGCTCTTTATTATTGGTAGCTTCTTGGAATGGGCATTCACCTACCCCTCATGATGCTGTTGATGGTAGTGTTTACAATTTTTTATTTTAATTAATTACTTTATATCTGCACTTTAGAACTTATATATGCACTTTAGAACTTCTAAGAATGTGGCATCAACTGTTAGTTCTCTTAAAGATTCATTTTCTGTTTTACCATCCCCTTTTGTCTGGAAACACTCAAGGTTGTAGTTGTGTAT